GAACTCCTGATGGCCAATTCCCCAGATCATCACAAGATGCCAGGGGACAGCTCATTCATACCTCACTTACATAAATGCATATACATAAATGTAAGGCTCTCAGGTATTAGAATAATTCCACTGTGCAGTAACTCTCTGCTGCTCTTCAATCCAGCATAAAATCAATTTTTTAGCATGCTTCTTGCAACTTTTTGTGATACAAAAATACTTTCAGTTCCATGGAGTACAAGAGCTGTGAGTCCAAGAAATATGTATTATTTTTTGCAATCCTTTGGGGATTTATTTGGCTAGGCAAACAAATCAGGTAGCTTGCCTGAAGCTTAGACATTAGCTCATCTCCCTGTAAAATTCAGTGGACACACATTGCAAGTATGACTGCAAGTATGACTGTGCTTACAGTGAAAAATGGGTTACGTGATTTAACGTATGTCTTAACAAGTCACTGTTTTGTCATGTAGGTGCCCTCCCTGGTAATACAACATGATTAAACAATTAAACACTAGTTCCTGCAAAATATTCAAAAGGTACGTCCTCTATCCTTGTTTCTGGCCAGGAAATCTGCCACTAATTTACATGGCAGCTCTCTTAGTTTGAAATGGAGGTAAAGTGATGGAAAGTAATGTTCATTATAGGGAACACTGAAAAAGTTTTGTTGTGATAATGCTGAAGAGGCTCTTCTGTATGGTATTTTAACAATGTCATTTTTTATGTAGCAGTCTCAGAGAAATATTGTGCAGAGACCATGCAGCAAAGATCCCCCAAAATGGCGCTTCTGGGTTTGGCATTTATTTTTCTAGGCTCCTTTTGGAGCATAGTGTCTACTGCAATCCTTTTAATGCTCACCGAAAATAACTTTCTGACAATATTTCAGTATCTGTCCAGCAAAATTCAAGCATCAGACAAATATGACAGATGCCACTGACACTGTATGATTTAAACTGAAAAATTTCCTACTGACATGTTCTTCACCTAAAGGTAATCCTTCTGCTGTTTTACAGTGGAAAGTTTATTAATAACAGAAACACATCATTGGACTGAATAGACTGGTGTAGTGGACCTCCCCCATAATTATGAAACAAACTTATGGACACAAATATGCATAACTCGAAGATGCTTTGGACAAAATATCTCATGTAACCTATCAGTCTTAATGGATCTGGATGAAGCTGGATCTGTATATCTTATTTTGGTGTATGTATCATTCTTGTGCATAAATATATGGAATATGGAATGGATTATGGTTTTAGATGTGGAAATGAAAGTCATCACGTGAGTTAGCCTCCATGTCTAGAAAACCTGTAAACAGCCTTCTTTGTCTTTTAAGTCTTAGCAGTGGTTGGTCCTAGAAAGTCAATTGATTGCCCCCCCTCCCCCAACTAGTAGGGTCTGACATTTTGTGATTTTTCCATGTAAAAGTGGAATGTAGAAACAGAATTTCTACCCTAAGTGGAATTTATAAAACAATGGGAAGCTAGCAGTTTCTTTGTCTTTGGATGGCATGAAATGCCCAAGAGGATAACTAAAGACCCTAGGGAAGAGGAGTCTTCCATGGTTTGGAGGCTTGGCTGGAAGAAGAGCAGTTTTAGGGTAAATTTGTATTGAGGTTTTAGTTTTAGAATTAGCTAAGCATTTTGGTTATGTTAAATTTGTAATCTGAAGATGACAGAAGTCATGACCCTAAATATTGAGGCACCAGCATCAGTTAAGATCGATGGCCATGACCTACCTAACAGAGAGCTTTACACACTTGAGTAGTATTATCAGGCAAGATGGAGGCGTCAGAAGTGATATCCAGAGCAGACTCAGTAAATCCAGAAATGCCTTCATAAGTCTGAATGCTGTATGACAGTTATCACAGTACAGCATCCAAACCAAACTGAAGTTTTATCAGAGCTGTGTTTTATCAAGACTATTATATGGATCAGAATGCTGGCAGATGACAGAGTATGACCTCAATAAATTGTTGACTTTTCATACCAGAAGTCTTCGGAGGATCCTCCATATTTTTTGGCCAAGAATAATTTCAAATCAGGACCTGCTTGTGCGGTGTAAACAAGATGACATGGCTGCCATCATTATGAAAAGATGCTGGAGGTGGATTAGGCACATGCTCAGGAAAGATGGAAGCTCCATCACAGAGACTACTGTGCACTGGACCCCTGAAGGGAAGCAGAAACAAGGACAACCCAAGACAACATGGTGACAGACTATTGAAGTAGAAATGAAGAGCATGAATTACACTTGGGGCACTATTGAGAGGCTGGCCAGAGACAGACCGAAGTAGAGGACCTTTGTTGCTGCCCTATACGCCAGTGGGCTTGAAGGACGATGATGAAATTTGTAACCTACTTTGCTCTGCCTGTACTCACTTATAACCACTTAAAACCTACTGCCTGTGCTTAATAAAGTCACTTTCATTTAATATGAAGCCCAGTGTAAATAATTGTTACTTGGGGGAGCAATCAGTGTGTACATCCTCCTTTCATTGTTAAAGGGGCTTACCTAAATAATTAATTTGGGGTTCTGATCCCATTTAGGGAGTGGTATCGTGGGAAGCTGGCCCCAACACTGTATTTTCTTGGACCTAAAGAGTTTCAGTGTCTATACTGCTCCTCAGGGGGAGAAGTGCGGTGATTTCAGCTCTGTGCCATGACTAAGGGAGATCAGCTGATCTGGCCCAGCAGGACAGAGTTGAAACACAGGGATGGGTTGACCAAAGCTAGAATTAATATCTTTAATTTCTCTATGGAGGCAGAGGTTTGGATAATAGACTATACTTACTAAAATATATAGTAGCCCAATGTCTGTGAGTCTGTAACTCTGTAACGTTACAGACTCGCCTCTTGCCTCCCGCTGCATGGGGAGCGCAGACCCCAAACAGCCGCTTGCCGCTGCTTGTTCCCCCTCTGTGGCCCAGCTGAGCGGAGCAGCACTCAGCCGAGTGCCACAGCAGGAAGGGAAGGGAGGCGGGGTGGTGACGTACACGGCCCGAACCCCTAGCTGTATTCATCACCGCCCCGCCCCCCCTTCACCTTCCGCCGTGGTGCTCGGCTGAGTTCTGCACCATTCTGCCGGGCCACCGCGGGGAAGCAAGAGGCGCAAGTGGCCATTTAGGTTTCACGCTCACCGTGCTGCATGAGGAGCATGGAGCCCAAACAGCCGCTTGCGCTGCTTGCTCCCTCGCACGGAGAGCGTAGAGCCCAAACAGCTGTTTGGGATCTGTGCCCCCCCGATTGAGAAGCAGAAGGGAGAGGAGAAGAGAAAGGGAGAGTGAGAAGCAGGAGGGGAGGGGGGAGAGAAACAGAGACGGAGAGAGAGGCAGGAGGTGGAGGAGAGCTGAGAGAGAGAGGGGGAGGGGAGGAAGAGGAGGAGAGAGATGGACATGGAGGAGAGTCCTGAAAAATCCCATTGCATGACGGGTTATTGGCTAGTATACTAATAGTTGGAACAAGTGAGCACTGACCTGAGGGAGCTCCAGGGCCAGCTCTGGCTTGGGGACACAAACTAACTCCACACCTCTGTACTATGCTGCCAGCTAGTGCAGTAGGGAGCATGCATGGGGGAGGCAGCTGATTTCCAGGAGAAGAGAAGGAATCCAGGAAAGCAGCGAGCTACCCTGCTCCGAGTGGGGAAGGCCAGGCTCTGTGGGGTTGGAGCTGGAGCTGCAGTGGAAATGGGGGCAGCGCCCTGGAGCCCACTCCCTGCTATGGGGATTGGAGCAGACAGGGCCCTGACACTGTACCTTTTTGCTCCGCTGTGATATGACAGAGGCTGCTGCTGCCAGGTGCCATCAGGAGCTCCCAAGCAGCATCAGCACATGAATCAAATCTATTCCCTTCCTCCCAACCGCTC